AAAGGAGGCTATCCATATTCAAAAAGAACTACCTTGCCTCAATCAGCAATTACACCATGTAAATCTAAAATTATCCTTTTAATTTACACCTTTTCACGTCCTGTTGTTACTATTTGTCTTAATTAGCATTGTTGCCTACTTATTATTCAACTTGCTTTGTAATCATTCATTCAACTGAAGATGACAGAAGTTCTGTGGAAACATGTTTTTCAAACTTAAAAAATTGGTCGTTTTTCTTAAAACAGTGCTAAAATTATGACTAAGTACAATTACTTTCGCATTTGTAAACAAGATGCTTCTAGAACACCAACATGAAAATATCAAGTCAACTGTTGAAAGGAGAGCATATTGGCACAACGCCAGAACTTGGAAAAAGTCTGCCCGACCTTTTTAATTTGAGATCAAAACCACATGCATACCTTACTCACTATAACACTACTCTTATAATAATAATAATAATAATAATAATAATAATAATAATAATAATAATAATAATAATAATAATAATAATAATAACAAAAGTATTATATAGCACCAGTGTCCTAATATTTAAAGGCGCTTTACAATATCAACGAAAATTTAAAAAATTATCTAAAAATTAAAAACATTAGTCTAGACTAAATTGCAAAAGGTTTTTTGAAAAGAAACGTTTTGAGCCTATTTTTAAAGAGGGACACAGACGAACTATTTATAGCATAAGTGCGTGTAACAGTAATTTTTAACATGGCTTAAAAAATTATTTTTAGTCTACAATTGATGTCAATATGTCTTTTGGTTCAGTTTTGAATTTTCAATTATGCCCATGAAAATGACTCCCCCCACCCACCACCCACTCCCAAAGAAAGTTGCTATTGAAGCTAGTAGTCTGGTTCACTTCACTTCGTCTCAATACACGTAGATCACTCGCTTTAACAATCAATACCCAGGCTAGTCCCAGGGGAGACTCCCATTTCAAAAGGACGTGGGTGCTCATCGGAAATTCTGAAAAGAACCCTAAGGGGTACCAAAATCCTGTTTGAGGGTGTGGCTTGAAATTTTTTTTCACCCCTAAGAGGTACCCAATGGCATCCTCACAGTTAGTGCACTCGACTCTGGAGCACCCAGTCCAGGTGGGATATTGTGCTGTGTTCTTGGGCAAGAAACTTTACTCTCACAATGCCTCTCTCCAGCCAGGTGTATAAATGGGTACCGGCAAATTTGATTTAACCCTGCGATGGACTAGCATCCCATCCAGGGGGGAATAGAAATACTCCTACATGTAGTCACTTCATGCTACTGAAACCAGGATAAGCTCCAGCCTGATGGGCAACTTGACTCGTATGCAGACTTTACCTTTGCCTTTACCTTTGGTACCTTTAGGTACCAAAACTGTGTTTTTAGCCCCTACAAGGTATGCCAAGCACCCCCGTGCTTTTTATATGGAAGTCCCACCCCTCCGGGATGCAAGCATGGGAGAAGCAGACGTCAAAAGTTATCAATAAATTGCACGAGTGCTGGTGTTTTGATTGTTAAAGTCTGCAAAAATGTTGTCCAAAAAAACATTTTTTACGATATATGGCAAACTTGTATACACCAATGAGCAAGGAACAATCTCGTTAGACTTCAGAAGTTACATTCAAGATGAGCCTACCTTATAGAGAAGCTTTCTGTTATGAAGATGGTGTACCCTAAGAAATTTATCCAGTCCACAAGAAGCAACCATCTGTTGTTTGTGAAGACAAGATATGCAGCGGATTCCACCAGCAAAACCTTTAAAATGACCTTGAAGCTGGCCTGAAAGAACAGTTAAGCCTGATATCAATCTTTATAATAATTATGAGCTCTACATTTCTATGAGGTGATAGCTGATGAGGCCAAATATCATCTCATAGAAATCGAGAGTGAATAATCTAAAATTGTTTCAGTAGAATTCCAACTGAAATTAACGCAAATAATGGTTTCCAATTATTTTTCCACATATTATTAAAACTTTACACTTTCACAAAATCGCACCAACTGAATTGCCACTGGAAATTTGCAGTTGTCTACCAGTGTGCACCCATTTTTTCAATAATTTCAAGTTTTAAAGTCAAGAAATCGTTAATAGCCTTCATTTAGTCTTCTAAGGAATTTAATTATCCATTTGCATCTAAATGTTCCTCCAAAACTTCAGGAAAACAAAAGAGCGTCACCATTTCATAGACAACTGACAGCCACTGCACTCTAATAGCTGATAGTGTATGAGTAGCTCAGCCAATCAGATTGTAGCATTGCATTAGTATACTAGTAGAATTCTTCTAATGTGGAATAGCATACTTCAAGTTGGCTATCTTTGTCCTTACCCTTTCTCAGGTCGATACTTCCCATTGTTCCCACTGTATTCCCAACAATGACAAGACTAGGATATAAAAAGGAAAAAACATTAATGGTATATTACAAGTGGAATGGATTGGCAGGTGACAGAATTGACTTGATGTACAACATAAACTTTTTATTATACAGACAGGAGTGTTCAAATGGGAAATACACCACTCATAAAATTCAGACAAAACTACATCTGGGACCTGAGTGGCATATTTTCCATATCTTCACTAGTGAGGATATTGATGACATAATTTCCCACTTTTTCACAGGTGTTTGTGCAAACAGTCAGTTTACCTACTTAATATAACGAAAATTACACAGTGGCTTGAAGATCTGTATGAATTTTATTTTCTGCTGTTGAAAACAATCTTTTTATCACTCACTACGGTTGTTCATAAAATATTGCTTTTAATAGAACTTGCAAATAAAATATACTATATCTTGTTGCTGCTGGGTAATATTCTCTATCTACGACTACAGGCTAAAAGAGAAATGATGATGACCAATTGAAAACCAAGCCAGTAGATGGGTCTTGGGAGCTGACTACAGGAACCGAGATGGCTCAGTTTGCCAGTTGCACAGTCATTTAGTTATTGCAACAAAAATCAACGTCATGAATATATGACAGCTGAGCCAGGCAATCCTGGGATCCCAGCTACACAGACTCTTATCAAACCACTTTCTTCCAAAATAGAGCAGACTCCCACCTCATCTGCATGTAATTCAAGGCTAAAAAGTTATCTCACCAAGACAATCTCAGTCAGTTTCAGGCTGGCTCGTTTCATGTGATACTGGGATAAATGTAAACTTAATAAACTGAGCCTTCCTGTTAAACCAGGGCAGCATGGCCCATGTTATCAGCCACTAATATCATTACACCATGATAACTTTACAAGCTAACCCATGTACAAGTAACTTCCCTGGCACACCTGACCAGGTGTGTTTTCCTTACTTTTCATTATCTGTTACAGCTAATGCCGAGACTGGGGACTCCCCAAAGTCAAAGCTTAAAACTGGTCGGCGCTGTGCCTTGGTGTCATACAGTCGCACTTGATGATACCCAGTACCAACTGCAACCCTAGCCTGAGCTCCCTGACTAGGAAGAAATCCTAAATCCGTCACCCAGATTGGAACTTGGAGGTCCAGGAAATCATTAGGTACCTGGAGGGAAAACAAGGAATCTGATTACAAAAATAAACACTTTCACATGGGCACAATCATTGCATATCTTTCATTCTTGGTTTCTTTAGCCTTCAGCACAATAAAATTATGAGCTGTTCAGTTCATTTTGAAGATATCTTCAAATTGAGTGAACCCTTGAATAAGATGTCCTACAACAAACACCTATCTACCATGACAAGATCTTTTAATCCAGGCAGTGAACTCAACATCACATAGTTTCTATATAACTAATGGCAACTGTTGGCTGCAATAGGCCATATTTGTATTTCTGGTATTTGACTGGAACTAGCTTGCTACTGAGGCTAATGTAGGGAGTCTTTTCAAATCCAAATGACTTTATCTCTTTTTAATAATGATTCCCCCATTGCGAGCTAGTTCAAGTCTAATATGGTCTATCAAGTCGCTGTCTTCAAGCATGCCTTTTACACGTACCAGTCATAAAGTGCAATCTTTTTCAAAATTCATGTCATGTAAAACTCAAACGTTTTGTTCCATATATTTTAGAGAAGACTAAAACAAACAGATCTCAAACTGTAATGTGTGTAAATTTGTTATGTAGCAGGCTGCATGGAAATAAAAACTATGTTGCTACATGTAATCAGATACTTTGAAAAGTGCAACACAAAATTATTATAAGGTCAATCATATCCATATTCTTAAGTACATTTTCAATTTTGTATGAAGACCTACATGTACATGTAAGAAGGTGGCAGTTTCAATGAATGAAGAGAAAGTGGTCATGTCATACTTTTAAGAAAACAAAAAGTTATATATATGCTCATCTTCCAGGAATGAGCAACAAATCTAGGTGACAACAACAGCTTCAAATTTCAGTGGGCTGAACAAATTGACAAATCACAGCACATGTAGTAACTGACAGATATTAATAAATCTGTGCATATTACATTTTTGGCTCTAAAGATTGGCTCGTCAGGTCTGCTAAGGTCCCAGAGTTTCAAATCATTCTTCTGTCCACCTGTTCCCACTTGAGATGGACATGAAGGATTCTGACGCANCATTGCGAGCTAGTTCAAGTCTAATATGGTCTATCAAGTCGCTGTCTTCAAGCATGCCTTTTACACGTACCAGTCATAAAGTCCAATCTTTTTCAAAACTCATGTCACGTAAAACTCAAAAGTTTTGTTCCATATATTTTAGAGAAAGACTACAACAAACAGATCTCAAACTGTAATGTGTGTATGTAGCAGGTTGCATGGAAATAAAAACTATGTTGCTGCATGTAATCAGATACTTTGAAAAGTGCAACACAAAATTACTGTAAGGTTGATCATATCCATATTCGTAAGTAAATTTTCAATTTTAATATGAAGACCTACACGTACATGTAAGAAGGTGGCAGTTTCAATGAATGAAGAGAAAGTGGTCATGTCATACTTTTAAGAAAACAAAAAGTTATATATATGCTCATCTTCCAGGAATGAGCAACAAATCTAGAACATTTTAGGTGACAACAACAGCTTCAAATTTCAGTGGGCTGAACAAATTGACAAATCACAGCACATGTAGTAACTGACAGATATTAATAAATCTGTGCATATTACATTTTTGGCTCTAAAGATTGGCTCGTCAGGTCTGCTAAGGTCCCAGAGTTTCAAATCATTCTTCTGTCCACCTGTTCCCACTTGAGATGGACATGAAGGATTCTGACGCACAGCAGAAATATGACTTCCAACTTTAACATCTGTCTGAGGAAAGAAGTAATAGCATTTTTTTGTTAAACTAAAATTATATTGACTAAGGGTGCAAAAATTACTCTAAAATAGAAGCTGCCAATTTGTGCAACAATTCATTTCATACTTAAAAAGGATTTATTTATTGTACTCCATTGAGTATAAAAGTAACAGAAATATTTTTGACTTACAGTATTAAATGATAATTTATTATAAACTTGCATGCATTTCAATAAGACATTTTTTTTATAATTAGTTATTCAGAAAAGCAATTTTTCCTTAATCCTGATACCATCTCACAATGGTTAAGTGTTTTATGCTGTTCAAATTAGTCTAGAAATGGCAAGAATTATTATCCAGAGTTCAAATAAAATAATTCTTATATAAACATGCCTTCTTTCACTTGTTGTTTCAAAAGTGTATTGAACTTTCATAACTTACAGAATCTTCATCATTTTTCCAAATTTTTAGTTGTCCTGACTCTGCACCTGTCACAACTGCACTATGAACACAAAAATGAGTCTATAATTAAAAATAGATAATACTAGGATTGTAATTAACAAATTATTTTTGTTCTATTCCCCCTTGTTGGGTACTTGGTGATAAAATAACCAACAGGTACATAACACTAAACTGACTATGATTCTCTCATATTCGATAACATATGTAACAAATAGAGCAATAGTAATAGGTGTCCAACAATAGCAATTAAATGCAGACATCACGATAGATGCGAATGCAGCCATAACACTACTGGAAAAAAGATGTGAAAAAGTTTTCAGGCTTTGAACGGGATTACGTCCACTGAACATAAAGGGCCAACCCACACACAGCCGCTTTAATCATGTGGCTTTGATAGCTCAGTTGGGAAATCACTGCAACGGTATTGCAAAGGTTGTGGGTTCGAACCCTGCTCAAAGCCTGAAAAATTTTTTGAAGTCTTTTTTCCGGTAGTGTTA